CGGGACCCCTCCCTCGGACACATGGTCGCAGAGGGCCCGTCAGCCCGGGACCCCTCCCTCGGACACATGGTCGCAGAGGGCCCGTCAGCCCGGGACCCCTCCCTCGGACACATGGTCACAGAGGGCCCGTCAGCCCGGGACCCCTCCCTCGGACACATGGTCGCAGAGGGCCCGTCAGCCCGGGACTCCTCCCTCGGACATATGGTCGCAGAGGGCCCGTCAGCCCGGGACTCCTCCCTCGGACATGTGTCACAGAGGGCCCGTCCGCCCGTGGGAGTCCAGACCCGGCGGCGGAGGCGGAGCAAAGTTCCCGCGCGGCCCCGCGGTGGAATCCGCCAACCAGCAGGGGGCGCCACCGCCCGCCCTGAGCGCGGCCCCGAGGGCTGGCGCTGCCGCTCCGCTGCTTGGGGACGGGTTTGCTCGCTGCCGGGATTTTCCCGTCACTGAGAGCTAAAATCACTGTCCATGGAGGACGGCACTCGCCTGAACCACCACCCGCCAGCTTCCTGTCCCGCGGCGCAGCGGGGACCCCGCCAGGTGACCAGGTCCCCGGCAAGCCGACTGCATCGCCGGCCGGGGTTAGCCGGGCCCACTGCACAGACCGCAAGCCCCTCGGACCTCAGCATCCGGCCGTACACCGGGGCGGGGCCTCTGCCCCCCGGGTGTGGAGCCGCCTGACCACACTCGCTGAGCCGGGGCCCGCCTCTGCGTGACGGGCCGGGTTCCAGCAGCCCAGGCTCCAACAGGCAGCGCTGGGCCGGCGCGAGGCCCTCCCTCCAGGCGCGGGACAAATCCTGACAGCGCGGACCTCAGCGGACCCGGAGCCAAGCGGAGAGGGCGGCCCCCATGAGGAGGTTGCCCAGAGTGCCTCGCTCTCTCGGGGTGGGCTGGGGGCCGCAGAATGGAGCTCCAGGCCTTCAAGCCAGCCGAGAGCGGAGGACTTCAGGGAGAGGGGGAAGCGCAGGAGACCCCGCCGCTCCGCACCACTCAGCCCCTCAGGGTGACGGCCCTGGAGGAAGCACGCGGAGGTCGGGGAACCCTCGCCCTGCTGGGCATAGACTGCAGCCCAGGGCTGGCCTGTGGGCGTCTCATGCCGACAAGGACGGCCCTGAACAGGCCTGTCCTGGCAGGACTGGGGGTCACTCAAGTCAGCTGGCTGCTTGCCCCCGACCTCTGCCTGTCACAGAGAAAAGTGACATTGTCCAGAGCTACGACAGTTTGCAGCCAGTGTCCAGCATTCACTCAGAAATTACCAGACACTCCGGACGCCGCACAGCAAAAACACTCACAAGGGAGTCCTATTCCAGAAACAGTTCAAGTGTCCATTACAGTGGGATGCGCAGATAAAGCTTGGTCCCTTCAAGTAAGGACGGCTATGCGGCAGCTTAGAAACCGCTACAGCACAGAGCACGGGTGACCTGATGCTGTGTTGAGGAAGCATCAGATATGGGAGATCATTTACAATACACTTACAATGAAGTCAAGCACAGAAAAACTAATCCACGGCGATAGCGGCCAAAAATTGGCCACCTTTGAGGGAAATTTCAAATATAAGGAACATGAATATTTTGGGATGCCAATAACTTGGAACATCTTGATCTGAGTAATGATTATTTGGATATAAAGTTGTCTCTGTGTGTGCGTGTATAACAACTCTGCAAGTTAAATGAACACCTAGGATTTGTACACTTTAAAGCACATAAGTTCTACCTCATCAAAAAAAGAAAAAGATTAGTAATCATTCTGTGTAAGCAAGCAAATAGCACTCTGTCCACGTCTTTCAAAGCAGGTTAGACACAGCTGAAGGGAGAATTATAGAACTGAAAGATAAGTCAATGCAAAATTAAATACAAGAAATACAAGAATACAATTATTCTAAGAGAAATTCTGGGCAAAGGCCATTTAGCATGTGAATGAAAAAATAATACATAGTGGGTAGATTTAAGCACAATTATATCAATACTTACAATAAATACAAAGTTATTATGCTTATCAATTAAATTACCAGATTTAATAAAATTAGAGTCCAGTTCTATGATGTGTATGATACATCCCCTAAATGTAACAAAACAGACCTGAAAGTGAGCAGATAAGAAACGAGACACCTTACAAGCACTAACAAAGTAGTATCAGACTTAACTTACAATCAGTGAGCATTACAAGAGATACAAAACATGATTCATGTTAGTAATAGTCCTCCAGGAAGACATGACAATGCCAGATTTATAGGCACCTAGTCATGGAGGTTGAAAACGTGATGCAAATATTCACACAGATGAAGGGAACGTAGATGAATCTGCAAAGCACGTGGGTATTTAACAACATCTCTCCAAAGCTAATAGAACAACCAGACGAAACCTGCACACGTGCCCAGCTGGCTCTGAGAACCGCCGAGGACCAGCGACTCGGGTGCCTCCCCCTCCCCCTTTATAAAGAGGGGCGTCCCTGCCGGCTGTGCCCCGGCTGCCCCGGCACCGTGCATCAGGTGCAGTGGCTTTGTGGTCTGGAGGAGAGAAGGGCTACGGCCCAGGGCCCACCTCCCCACAGCACTTTTTCCTTTTATTTGCCTAAATATCCGCTCTGCACACTTAAAACCCACGCCACTGGCTGCGTATAAACTGGGTGCCGGCGTGGCGTCCCGGTGTATACACTGGGTGCCGGCGTGGCGTCCCAGTGGATGCCGGGAGGAGCTGGAGCCCCGTGTGGGGGAAGCGGACGAGGTGGCTTTACCTGGGGGCTCTTTCAAGTCCGTTTGGCCTGTGCTACAAACACCAGAGAGCGCTTGGCTTACAAACAATGGAAGTTTATTTCTCGCAGTTCTGGGGGCGGGGAAGACCCAGATGGAGGCCCTGGCAGACGGGGCGGCTCACTGGGCGGCTCACTGTGTCCGGGCGAGCCCGCCCGCCGGGGCCGCCTTCCTCGGGGCACAAGCCCTCGTCACCTAAGCAGCTTCCAGGAGCCACCTCCTATGTCCATAACCCCGGGGGTGAGGATTCAACGTGCGAGGTTTGGGGTGACACGAACACTCAGACGACAGCAGGGGGCCGTGGAGTTTGGGGTGGTTCTGAAGCTGCCGGGGGCCTCCCCTGCGGCAGCGGGGTGGAGACGGGTGCAACCGGGGCCAGGCCTCCTCTCTGCGCTGCAAGCTAACGTCCGACGCGCTGACTCCACATTCCCACGGGGCCCCCAGACTCATCACAGGCGCGAGCAGCAGCTGCCACCCCCGGCAGTGACGGCCTCTGTCCAGCGGAACGCGCGGGAGCTGATGCCTCGTCCTGACGGCCGCCCGCTGTCCGACCCGGCGCCAGGGTCAGAAGCTCCCTCCCAGCTAGCCCCCGTCACCCCTCACCCACACCACTGTCCACACTGCCTGTCTCGATGCGGACTCAGCAGCAGCCCAATGCTGGGCCTCCCCCGACCCGAGACCCCAGGACCGGCTCCCGCGGTCACAACGCTCCTTCCGAAACGCAACACCCACTCTGAGCATCCCTGTTGAAACTGCCACGTGGCTTCGGGCTGTTGACGCACTAACGTGGCCCAGCCAATGCTCCCTGGTCTCCACCTGCGGCCCCTGCAGCCTCCCGGCCCTCCTCTCAGGCTCACCGTGCCGGGCGCCCTCCCCGGGAGTCTCTCCCCAAGCTGCCCCTTCCTCCACCCTCACATCTGCTCCTTTGCTTTCCTACATACTTATTCATCCATTTGAAAGTCAGGGTTACAGAGAGAGGGAGAGACAGACACAGAGAGAGATAGAGAGAGACGGGGCGGGGGGTTTCCATCCGCTGGTTCACTCCCCAAGAGGCCGCAACAGCCAGGGCTGGGCTGGAAGGAAGCCAGGAGCTTCCTCCAGGTCTCCCACGTGGGTGCAGGGGCCCAAGGACCGGCCCATCCTCTGCTGCTTTTCCCAGGCCACAGCAGGGAGCTGGATCGGAAGCGGAGCAGCCAGAGCTGGAACTGGCGCCCGTGTGGGACGCAGGTGTCACAGGCAGTGGCTTTACCCCCAGTGCCGGCCCCAGAGCCGCCCCTCCCACTAAGCTCCTCCCTCCTGCAGGCTTTGCCTGGGGCACCCCGTGGTAAGCCCTGGCGAGGAGCCAGCACCCAGCACAGGCCGGCGAGAGCTGACGCCAACGAGCGCTTGCAGAGTGAGTGAACCTCACTCACCCTTGACCAGGCCTGAGCATCAGACACCCACGGGGCCCCCGTGGAGCTCACCGGGCTGGGGACCAGCGCCCCCCACTGAAAAGCAGCAGGAGCCTCAGTTCACCCTGGGGAAGCACTCGTCCCTTCCAAACCTGGGGCCCAGGGCGGTCGCCTCTGGGGATCCCGCATCCCACCACGAGGGGCCTGGTTGGAGGCCCGGCTCCCTCGCTTCCCTGCCAGCTCCCTGCTGACGCGCACCTGGGAGGCAGCGGTGACGGCCCAGGTGCTTGGTCCCTGCCATGCACATGGGAGACCCGGATGGAGCTCCAGGCTCCTGACTTCAGCCTGGCCCAGCCCCAGCCGTTGTGGGCATTTGGGGAGTGAACCAGTGGACGGAAGAGACCTCTCTCTCTCTCCCAAAATAAATACATTTTTTATACAAAATGATGAGACAAAGGACAGAGGATGAGCACGGGGCGCGGCTGTGTTCCTAACGCTTCCATCCCTCGGCCCCGCCCTGCCCCTCCCCCCCCAATCTCATTCTCTCTCCCTGCACTGGGTAGCAGTCTCCCTCTCCTTAAAGACTTCCCGAGGAAGCAGCCGAGCGCTTTCCCACAGATCTGAGAATTCCCTGCAATAAAGCGTCGGGTGAAATGAGACAAGGCACCTTCTGAGCCCCAATCAGCCCAGATCACACATTAAAGCCGCAACATCGGAACAATGAACGCCGCTGACAGCCTCCTCCGGCCGGCGGACCCCGCTGAGTCTGGGTTAACAGCGTGGGCGCTGCGGGGAGTGTCCTCATTCCGCAGGTTTTCCACTCCCGGGCACAAATCCGCTGGGCCCCCGCCCGGCCCCCGCCTGGCCCCCGCCCGGCCCCCGCCGTGCTCACCGCCAGCAGAGCCTGGGAAGCTCGAGGAGCTCTGCGCGGGGCGGGTTGCAGAGAGCTTGGTCTTTTTATCTGCCAGAGACAAAAGCCTGCATCGTGCCTGCGCGGAGAGCAGAGACGCCGAGGGCCCCACGTCCCTCTCCTAGCCTGCCGTGGACACCGTGTCCCTGGGGAGCTGCACAGAGGACTGTAGCCATGCACACCCCAAGGAGGCCCGCCCTGCCGGGCAGCACTGCCACACACCGGGAGCCTGGACGGCCCTGGGCCAGTCCCCAGCCCAGCAGTGCCAGGCCAGGCGGAGACGGCCAGCACAGGTACCCCACACAGGCAGGTTCTCTGTCCGTGGGAAGAGGCATCTGCTTCTATGTAAGGACCCCACAGAGGCCAAACACCATAACCAGGCTCCTGGAGCCCCTGCTCCTCAGCTCCGCCCACCCTGGCCCGCAAAACCACCTCCTTCCCTTCCCACTCCTGACGTCCCAAGGCTCGTCCGGCACTGGTCACACAATGACGCCGAGGGTCGCCTTCCCCTAGGCTAAGATCAAGAGAGCAGCCCGTCCCCTCCTGCCGCCAGGAAGCTGATGAGGCACCGTCCCCTCCCCCGTGTCTGCCGAGGTCAAAGGGCAACCTGGACTTCCGGCCCCAAGACCCCTCCTCAAGCGCCCAGCTCCAAGAGGAGGCTAAAATAACGTCTGAGTAAGCGCCTGAGTGCCCCAAACACCTAGGATCCAACGGAAGACCACCGCTCACACCGAGGGCCGAGTGAGAAGTCACGGTCAGCAGACAGGCGGGAGGACCCCCGTGCCCGCCAGAAGTGATGCGGATTTCAAAGACGCCATCACACAGATGCGGAAACACGCCGGAAATAATGAAATAAAATCTCAGCAAAGCCGCAGGGGACACTGAAAAAGAAACAAAGGCCAACATTAGAACTGAAAAATACAACGATCAGAATAGAGAGAAACCAACAGAACAGGGAAGGCAGAGGAAGAGCCCTGGGGCCTGGAGAGAGAACGGAAATTACCCTGCCCGACAAGGGAGACATGGACTCAACACAACGAACCAGTCGTGAAGGTTCGGGGCCTGCAGGCCTGCAGGGCGACAGAAAAATCCAGAAAGCCTGTCCTCAGAGCCTCGGGGAGGGACCGAGGAAGGGGCTACACAAGCGGCTGAGTCTTCCCGGGTTCGGATAACAACACGCACGCAGCCTGCAGATCCAAGAGGCTGAGCAGGTGCGGAAGAGAACACCCCGCCCAGACACATCATCACGAAACCGGACCCAGGACACAGGCCGAGAGGGACGCCCCTGGGGCCCGGCAGGCTTCCCACCAGGACCCGCGGGGCGGAGCTGCGGCACCTCCCGTTAGGTACAAATAAAAGAACTGCCAGTTAAGAGACCCTGGAGGGGTAAAGGGGAAATCGAGCTGTTCCCAGGCGCCGCAACACCAGGAGGACTTGTCACCTGTCCAGCAACACCAGGAGGACTTGTCACCTGTCCAGGATGAGCGGCTGAGGGAGGACTGAAATGGAGAGGCGGCTCAGATCAGGGGGACACAGGCCCACGGCGGTGCAGTCTGGGCCCACGTGGCGGATCCGCGTTTCGGAAGGCGCCTCCACACTCCAGGCCGCTGCAGTGCTCACCGTCGCAGGCGCCGACGCGCGGCAACCAGGACGGGAGAGTCGCAGTCCTCCCTCGGTTGTCTGGAAAAGCCCCGTGAGAAGAGGTGCGCTCCAGCTTCCCTCAGAGAAAAGCGCATCTCTGATTCCCGGTTTGCTTCCCAAACTACTCATCACCCGCATTTATCCGTCCAGTTTCCCACCCAGAGCGTTCATGTTCACAAAACCTTCACGTGTGTTCAAGACGGAGTCGCCGCCTCCAGCAAATAAAGCGACAGGAAGCCGGGTTGAGCTTGACGACCGCGTGGGACGCGGTTACGCGGGATCCTCGCCGTTCCCGGAGGCTCCGAGTTGAGTGTGCGCCCTGCATGTAGCCCGACAGTCCTGGAGGGGTTCACCCCCGGCGTCTACACCTCGGGAGCTGCTTCGGCTTAGAAAAGCAGCTCTTAGGGCCAGTGCTGAGACGCCGCAGGTCAAGCCTCTGCATGCAGTGCCGGCATCCCCTGTGGACACCGGTTCAAGTCCCGGCTGCTCCTCTTCTGATCCAGCCCTCTGCTGTGGCCTGGGAAAGCAGGAGAAGATGGCCCAGGTCCTTGGGCCCCTGCACCCACGTGGGAGACCCGGAAGAAGCTCCTGGCTTCGGATCGGCGCAGCTCCAGCCCTTGCAGCCATCTGCGAGTGAACCAGCGGACGGATGACCTCTCAGCTCCTCCTTCTGTAACTGCCTCTCAATCAAATAAATCTTGAAAAACAAAAAAAGAGGCAGCTCTTCAGGAATCTCGTCCTCTGCCACCAAGAACCCGCCCTTGGCGGCCGTCAGTCCCGAAGGGGACGGAGTGTCCCATCGCCCGGTGACACGTCCCCGGTGTTCAGAACAGGGTCTTCAGGGGCCGAGGACGCCGTGCGCGCCTGCCGCGGGAGGGCGCTGGGGCCCGGCTGCTCCTCCCTCCCGCACAGCGCTGTCCTCACTGGAGAAGCAGAGCCAACCTGTGGGCGCCCTGCCGGGGGACCCCCAGCCTCCGTCCCTACCCCTGCGAGGCCACCCAGGCGCCGCGTGCGTCTCGGTGTTGCGGGGTTTTCTGCCTTCATCCACGAGGGAGAAACTTACCTGCAGAGGAGAGGCATCAAAGCTGCCGCGAGGCGGAGGCTGGCCGGGCGCCCACCCTGCCGGCTCAAGGAGCGTCCGGTCCAGTCCCTCGGGCAGAGGTGCTCGGGGTGGGGTCTGTCCAAGATGTGTTCAGGAGCACAGGGCGGGCACTCGCCTCTGGGAGAGGAAGGCGGGCTTCCTGGAAGAACCGGCATCTCAAAGGGAGCAGCCCAAGAGTGCAAGGTCTGGCGGGGGTCGGAGGGGGGTGGTGAGGCTCTAGGTGAAAGGGAACAAAATGGTGTCCCGCTGGGCCGGCAGCAGGGTCAGGGCCCCCACCCCACTGTCCCAGCGGCCGGTCTGCCACGGAGCGAGCTGGACACAGCTTTCAGGGCTCCGGCCGTCAGGTGCGGTTTTATCTTGCGCACCTGGAGTTCCGGGTACGATTTACAAGCCGTGAACCGCGAGTCCCTGGTGGAGCGGGACCCCTGGCCCGGCCGCGGCTGCACCTTCTGAGGACAGCCCGGCCCCGGCGGGGTCTCAGGGCCGTACACGCACATTTTCCACAGGCCCCTCCCCGGGGCTGCTGGATGCAAGCCAGACGCCCCGGATACTGCCCTGGGAGGGGGAGAGGCCGCCAGGGCGAAGGGGACACGCGGGGGCCGAGGGGGGCTGAGGGGCCATCTCAGCCTACATAGCGAGTTCCTTTTGTGGGGCACAGCTACCCACCCACCAGCGTCTGCAAGCACCTGCGCTAAGCCAGGCTCTGCACGGGCCGCGGGCTGCCCCCGCCCCGGCGTTCCTCTGCTGATTCTCACTCTGGTGGGACTCAGGCCCCAGGGTGCTGCGGGGCAGGCTCTGGGCCTGGTCCCAGCCCCTCCACGGCAGGGGAGCAACCGTGGCCAGCGAAAGCTGGGACTGAGCTGGGCTCTGCAGGCCACGCACGGCCTTCCCTGCGACCACGGGGTCCGAGCCCCGGCCACACGCGGCCCTCTCGCTGAGGTCTCCTTAGACAGAACCGTGTGTGTCCTTCCCTGGGCAGGGGACACAGGCAGTGGGCACCTCTCTGCTTCTCGTCCTTTCTGTGGTGACAGCTGTCACCGGGGGAGGTGACGTCCAGAAACCCAGTCCTCGGAGGGCGGGGACCGAACATGCTGGGGGCAGGAGGGCCACGTACCCGCTTTGTGCCAGCACAGCGCTGGGGTCTCTCGCCTCCAAACTCTACCAGAGAAGCGAACAAAGAGGAGCCTCAAATGGGGCATCGAACCCGGGAGCCAAAGCACAGGATGCAGGCGACAGACGCGAGGCGGGGGGGCTCCAGCTCTGGTTTGTGGCCGGATCGTCGGGACACCCGCCTGCGTGAGCAGAGTTCTCCGTGCGGAGCGTGTGGAGCAAGCTGCCGAAGCTGTCAACCTGTCAGGCCTCAGGTGCCCCCGACCCTGCCAGCAGACACCAAGGACTTCCAGATCACATGTCGGTCACTTCTCCAAACACTGCACATGGGGCCGGGCTGTGGAGCAGGTTAAGTCACCGCCTGCAGCACTGGCATCCCACATGGGCACAGGTTCTAGTCCCCGCTGCTCCACTTCTGATCCAGCTCCCTGCTATGGCCTGGGAAGCAGCAGAGGTTGGTCCAAGTATCTGGGCCCCTGCACCCGTCTGGGAGACCTGGAGGAAGCTCCCAGCTCCTGCTCTGGCCTGTCCAGTCATCCTGGGAGTGAACCAGCAGATAGAAGATCTCTCTGTGTGTCTGTCTCTTTCTTTCTCTCTGTAACTCTAGCTCTGAAAGAATGGAATGGAATGGAATGGAATGGAATGGAATAGAATAGAATAGAATAGAATAGAATAGAATAGAATAGAATAGAATAGAATAGAATAGAATAGCTGCATGCAAGTGAGTCACGCAGAAAACACCGCCCAGGCCACGCATGCCCTGTGGGAAAAGAGCTGAAGAAGAAGAGAAACACAGCATCAGTCTATCACCAAGGGACGCCACTGTGCACCTCTCCCTCTCGGATGCCAGGGCGCAGGGCGCGGTGCACGGTCATGTCCAGGTCTTCCTCTTATCCACACGCGTGTCTGGAAGCAGGGCAATGGAGCCCACGCGACCCTGTGTCACTCAGCCCTCCCAGCACCCACAGAGCACGGCCAGCCCTACCAGTGTATCGGCCCCACATCCATGGGCTCAACCAACTTCTGATTGAAAATATTCAGGGGACGCCGCGGCTCACTAGGCTAATCCTCCGCCTTGCAGCACCGGCACACCGGGTTCTAGTCCCGGTTGGGGCGCCAGATTCTGTCCCGGTTGCCCCTCTTCCAGGCCAGCTCTCTGCTGTGGCCAGGGAGTGCAGTGGAGGATGGCCCAAGTGCTTGGGCCCTGCACCCCATGGGAGACCAGGAGAAGCACCTGGCTCCTGCCATCGGATCAGCGCGGTGCGCCGGCTGCAGCGCACTGACCACAGCGGCCATTGGAGGGTGAACCAACGGCAAAGGAAGACCTTTCTTTCTGTCTCTCTCTCTCACTGTCCACTCTGCCTGTCAAAAAAGAAAAAAAAAGAAAATATTCAGGGGAAAAATGACACGTGTACCGAGCACGTATGGACGTACGATCGAGGGTTAAGACAGGGAGCTTGTGGGGCCACGTGTGACTCCCACGCCATTTTATGTAAGATCCGTGGGGCTCCTGGACCGAGCCCCCGTGGACATTGAGGGCTGGTTAGGCATCTCCTGGTAGCCACACATTGCAGATGGGCAAGCAGCTGAGGGCGACGGCCATCACCCTAGCCCTGCCGGTCCCGTGGCTGCAGCACCACCTCACAGCCAGCCTCGTGTGCAGGGAGAGGAGCCGGGCAGCTGCCCACCACTGCTCGCCTGACCGCCTGAGCGTTCACCTTAGCAACCCTATCTGGTGAGTGGGGCTATGTTCTCCACCATGCAGGGAGTAACCAGCCGGCCGGGGGTCTCACGGGTCAGGCCAGGACCGAAGCCATGGAGTCCAGTTTGAGCACCTGCTCCAAGCCACCGCACCACAGACCTCAGGGTTTGGGGCTGGGCAAGGGAGGCATCTGGGCTGTGAGGCTGAAGGAAGCTGCTCTCCCAGGGCCTTGCACGAGCCGGGATCACCTGCCTGCCGCAGGGGCGTTCTCGGGAGGCGGACTCAGGTTTCACGAGCCCTGGGACCCTGTGGCAGGGACGGGGGAGATGCAGGGAACGGACCTCGATACCGGCCACACACACAGGACGCTGCAGCCAGGCTGGCCCTGGGCTTGGTCCCCAGGACTAGGATGGGGGCCGTTTATGCCCCCACAGACCAGGCTTGTGCATGGGCCGCCCTGAGAGGTCTGTGCTGCTGGTGGCCTGATCGCCTTGGTGGGAGGTGCT